CGCACGCGGTGGTCGGCTATTTTGGGCCAGGGTCTTTTATTATTTCTACCATTTTACTTTCGCTTCTCTATTTTTCTAATAAAGATTATAAACCCTCCACTTTGTCATTTAATTTTTACCCGCCATGCGGCAGGCGCCCCCAGTCGGCGCCGCCTCCATCCCTCATCCTCTTTCTCGCTTCACACTCTCTCTCTCTCATACTCACACCCGCTAGAGCCGGTTTTACCGAAAATAGCGACTCGATCATGCCACGCACGCGTATTAAATTATTCTTTCCGTTTTTATTAGAAATCTCGCAACCGCCACGCATACAGCCGGTCTTTCTTTTCTCACAAGGTCTTGGTATTGTGGTCAGCCGCTGAACCCCTTTTCTCGCATCTTCGCCACGAATTCGTCCCTGATGTGATCGTACTTCTCGCATTCCCAGAGGACGTGAGCTAGGTCCTCCACGTGCTCTCTACAGTCGCATCCATGGTCCTCCACCAGGTGTTTCCTCGCCAGTGACTCGCTCAGGTTGTAGTGGTTGGCTCTTATTCTGCTGAGCACCGATATTGTCCTTCTGTCTTGGGTAACGAATTTTTCAAACCACGATTTTCGGCGCTGTTTGTTCGTATCTATTTCGCTAAAGTATTTAACACCTTTGTATCGCGCTTCGTTTCTCATTTCCGTCGCGAACTCTTTCCACGCATTCCCTACCAGATTCACTAGCATGTCCCTTTTGGCCGCCGCGTCCGCTCTCTCATTACCCGCGATTCCTCTATGCGCAGGCACCCACACAAATACCACTGGCGTTTTTTTCCGGTTCACAGTCTCATTCAACGGTAAGTTTTTCATTAAGTATATTTCACATAATTCTTTCATAATTTTCGCCACAATTTCTCCTCTTTTCATCTTAACAATGTCTTTAATATCTTTGTTTTTTGCAGCTTCTAGTACCTTCAACACACTCGCGGAATTACTATAAACGAGCAGTCTTCTACCATCACCGGACTGACTGTACAACCTGAGTGCCTCCGCCACCGCCACTGCTTCCGTAGTGAAGATTGTGGCTCCAGGGTTCATGCTGAACGTATTCTACTCCCAGTTATTTTGCTGTTTCGTCACCACGGCTGCACCCACCGCCTGGGCTCTCTCTCGTTTCGACCCATCGGTGTACATCTCGGCAAATTCCTCGTCTATCGAGCCGTACCGCTGTCTGGTTTCATCAGGGCCGCTTCTGGTAATACCATCATCTCACCCGCTCTCCATTCTATCCAGGGTTCAGGGCAGGCCGCCAATTCCACCACTGGACGCTCCGCGCCAGCCCTCGCTGATTCCATCAGATCTATGTTTTTTCTGAAAATTTTTATCACATAAGTCCATTTGTTTTCCAACCTATTACTGAATCCTTCCCAAGCTTCGTACAGCCATTCGACGAACGCGCCACTACCGTTTCCTATTTTTTTAAGGAGGTATTTACCCGTTAGCAACTCTATTCTATTTCTAAACGCCATTATACCCGTTTCCACGTGCATGACATTGGCTGGAGTCGATATTCTATATTCCATCGCTACCCTCATCCCTGCATTCTGTATCTTATTCATTCTATCTACATTGTTAACACTGCCATCGGTATATATCATAGCCCCGTACTCGACCACCGACCTCACGAGCGCCTTGTACAGTACCAGCATGATTCTTTGATCGACTCCCCTCGCGATATGCGCGATGTACCTCAGCATGTTCAACCTGTACTAGCTGTTCTTTCAACGTTTCTAGTGTGCTCTTTAAAGTAGCATTTATTATCAAACAACCCCCAAGAACTTTGCCTCGTTTGATTCTGTTATTCTAGTATTTCCCACCCTTACTTCTACAGGTTGGTTGGCTCTGTGGTCTGAGCTCCTCGTTCTTCGCCATCTTGAGAAATTTACTATCACCGTTTTTTCTATGGACAGGCCTAGCCCTATTTTGTTCAGGTTCTCTATGATCTTGTCAAGGGCATTTTCCATTTTTCTACCGTTACCTATTCTTTGATCTTCCGTCGAAACGTATATGCCTATGTCGTCCGCGAATTGTAGTTTTACTATCTCTTCATCGTCAATTCCCTCCATCATGTCGCTTGTGTAGATATTGTACAGGATAGGGCTCAGTACCGATCCCTGGGGGAGTCCTCTTTTTATTGTTCCCTCCACATCTTCCTCGAATCTTCTGATCACCGTGACAGTTCTGTCTTCTAGCCAGCTCTTAATATATTTGAATATTTTTGTTGGGCACCTTTTTTTTCATTAGGATTGACAAGAGCATACCATGATCGACCCTGTCGTATGCCAATTTAACGTCGAGAAACGCCGCTAGTGTGGCTCTGCCATTGTGGAAGCCACTCTGTACGTCTGTTCTTATTCTGATCAGGTTATCGATCGTCGATCTTCCCCTTCTGAATCCGTTTTGCTATTCACTATTCTTTCCATTAGTTTACCCATACAGTTGGTCAGAGCTATCGGTCTTAGCGCCTTTTTCCCGGGTTTGTCTAGGAGGATCACCGCAGCCGTTTTCCAGCTCGGTGGTATCACCCCCATTTCCCATATCCTGTTGAACAATCTTAGCATTATCTATAGGAAACTGAAGGGCAACGTACCTATCGTTTTATTGTCGATTCCATCTTTTCCCGGGGCTGACTTTTTATTCATTCTTTCTACGGCACTCGAGATCTCCTTCGTGCTCAGTGGTCGCTCATATGCTTCGGCTGGTTCACTTGCATACATTATCCTTTGTTCTTCCGTAGTAATCTCGGCGCCCATATGCTTCGGCTGGTTCACTTGCATACATTATCCTTTGTTCTTCCGTAGTAATCTCGGCGCCCGTTGATGATGTTAGTATATCATCGTCAAATATTTTATCCGCTTTCGCTTGTTCCAGCTCACTTCTTTCCCCGTTGGTCATGAGATTCTGTTGGTGTTTTCTCCCCTTTTGTAACCCTTTTATATTTTCCCATAGGGATTTACAGTCCGAGCTGTGATTGATGCTTTCCGCGAACTTTTCCCAGGATTCTTTTTTCCTCTTTTTGACCATAGCTTTCATTCTCCTGTCACATATAGTTGTTCCATGTATCTTCGTTTGGTCTTCTGTTAAAGGCGATAAGGGCTCTCCTTTTCTCTTCCCTTACTCCATCGCATTTGTCGTCCTACCACCTTTGTCTATTTCTTTTTTTTCTGCTTTCAGTGGCCCTACCTTGATTGTTGCGAGTTTGCTTGATTTTCGTGGCTCCCGCCGCTTCTAGGCCTCTGTATATTGCCTCTCTTAGTTTTAGTTCTTCCTCTATTTCATTTCCCACCTCATGCTCCTCACTCAGCATCTCGCTGGCCTAGGCATCCATCTTCACTCTGAACATGTTCCAGTTGATTTTTTTGTATTCGTATCTTCTGGTCGAGAATTTTCTGCCCTCTATGCCAGGTGGCACGCTCATTTCAAGTCTCTTTATGATTTGGTGGTCAGACCCCAGCGTTAATCCTGAGTTTTCAGTGTTTATTATCTGTAACATTTCAAAGTTTGTGATTATTAAGTCGATATTTGAGGCCCTGCGAGAGCCCGAAGCGGGGCGTGACAGGGTGTCTCGATTCGCCACGAATAGATCTTTTTCATCAAGGACGTTTTCCAGTCTTGTCCCTTGCGTGTCATTCTCCACACAGTTCCATCCCGTGTTTTTCGCATTCATGTTGCCCATGATTATTGTTTTGGAGTTTCCTTCCACATTTTCCATCAGGTTCTTCCACTGTGTGCGCGACGTATTTGTCGCTGGATTTCTATATACCAATATCAGGTCGACACTTTGCGCATCACTCCCAACAGTAATCGCCAAAGTTTCCATATGTGTATTGTCTATCAATGTCTTTTCTTTCGTCTTTATTTGTTCCCTGATAATGAAGCAGAGTCCTCCTTCCGTAGCTCCTCTTCTATTACCTCTGTTATTGCTATCCAAAGCGTCTCTTCTTATCACTTTATATCCTTTAAAGTGCAGGTCAAATTCCGGATACAACCATGTTTCCATTATTGCGAGGATATCGTATTCATCAATCATTGCTTTTATTTCGGCGGTTTTGCCTCTCATACTCCTTGCATTCCAGATACCTACTAACATTTGTATTAGTGTCAGATAGTATGCAGTTTTTATTTTTATTTTTTTTATTTTTATCTCTTAAGGCTACCTTTGTTAGTTCTACTGAGTATGTATGTATTTATATAGATTATACCTTATATCTAGCAAACAATTCTTCTTTTTGGTATTTTTGATTTTATATTTGTTTTTTTTTTTTTTTTTTTTTTTGAAACTGGGTAATATAATTATGGACTAAGGATAGATATTAATTGATACCTTACTACTAACTGTACAGTTATTATAATTTATGTATTTATTTCCAGTCACAGATGTAGATCTGTTGGAATCTAATTCTTGTTGATCTCTTTTTCTTCCTGTCCAACTTCCTTATCCATGGTTGGTTCGACATCCTTAACTTCTATTTCCACCGTCTCGACTTCCTTTTCCAAAGCCGGTGGTGGAGGAGTTTTTGGCCTGTCGTCCTCTTCCATTTCCACACCCTTTCCTACTTCATGTTTCTCTCTTTCTTTTTCTTCGTTCAGTCTTTTTATTTCTTCACTTCGTTTTTTTTGTCTAGCGAATCGTTTCGCCTGTTTCTCTGGGATAATGGTTTCGTAATGAGGTCCGTTACCCCACCAGTCTTCTTCGGGGTCGACTGGGATTTCATTTTCCTTCCGGTACTTTTCCTTACGTATTTTTTCTTCAAGATTTTTTACCAGGTTCCTTTCTCTGATAAGGGTTATAATTTGTTCCATTATTTCCTCATCTGGCTTGTCTCTAATTACGTCCAGCAACTTATAATTTTCTCCTCTTATTCTATTAGTAATCCGCTTCTTTTTCATCTCTTCCTCATGGTTGTATCCTTCATATATGTTTATTTTTGGGGCTATATTCACCCAAGGTCTCACTCTATCGTGTGGTACTCGATTCATTATTCCCACTCTTCCCTCTCTTTGGGCTTTTCTAATTTCTCTTTCTTCATTTAGGTCTCTATATCTGAAGGTGCCTCTCGTGTCCTCTCCACCATACTTCCTTCATCCTTCGCTTTCGTCACTTGAAACCCTTTCTTGGTTCCTACGGTAGCCCGTATCTCTGTTCCACACATTTTGTCCTCTGTTTCTTTCTGGGACATTTAGTCTCTCCCATTTGTCACTTTTACCCCTTTGCTCCGTTCTTAGTTTTGGGAAATCCTTCTCACTTTCAATATCTAAATCAAACCTTCTTCCTGTATACTTATCTCTCAGGATTTCTCTGGCTTGGGAGTATGAAACATTTTTATACGCCATAGTCTTCTTTATTTCACTTTCCCTTTGAAAGATGAGACACTCTCTTGCGTTTGACCTATGCGCCTCACCGCAATTGACACATTTTTGTTCTTTTTTGCAGTCCGCATGGAACTCTTCACTGCACATCTTATATCTGCGGAACCTTGATTTGCATACTGCCTGCAGGTGGCCGTATCGGAAGCACCGGAAGCATTGTTTTACACTTTCTATGAATGGTTCTATCTTTAGCCACACATGGCCCTGCCCGATGTAGAGCCTCGTCGGGAGGGAATCCCCCTTGAATGTTAGTAATACAGCGTCGCTGTCTTCCCAGACAGCTTTTCCACCTCTCAGTCTTCTCCTTTTCAATCTTTGGGCTTCAAAGTCTCCTTGTCCAGTCATTACGCAATTTTTGAGCTCTTCCAATGTGTCTTCCCACTCTTTCGTAACCCCTCTTCTGGTACGTTTCCTCCTTGGGATATATGCTTCGTATCCCGCCTCCTTTTTTCTCCCATATTCTATTATTCTGTTGGCTTCTCTTCTTGTACCCAGTGTAATTTCCGTTCTTGAAAAAGCCATCATCCTTATTTCTCTTATTTTTGCACCTAGAATATTAATTATGTTATATATCTTTACCAGGTTATATTTCCTTTTATTTGATAATTTTTCTTTATTTAAGCTTACGCATATTGTGTATTCGCCACTTTCCAATTCTGCTACGTATAACGCTTCGCTTTCTTCCTTTGTCTTATAGTATGCGTGTTCTCTTACCTTATTTTCGCTTATTTCCTCTTTATCCGTGGATTTTCCTAGTCCGTGTTCCTTGTTCTCGGTTTCCTTGTTTTTGCCAATGTCGTCAATTATTTTGTATTTTTGCTTTATTTCTGTGCTCTCAATTATTCTTACTTTATTAGCCTTTGTATCTTTCTTCACATCTTTACCGTTATTTTCTCCCTTTGTCTTAGTTTTCAAATCCTTTACGTTACTCTTGCTACCAACTGTTGCGTTACTCACCTCTTTATCCTCTCTTCCTCTCTTCCATTGGTCTAGTCCTCGCGCGTTCTTGTCTGTCATTGGCTCCGCCATATTACCAACCTTAGCACTATCTGTGCTGTTTCCCGCTTCTTCTTCTTTCGAGGATTCTTCCTTGTATTTTCTTTTGATTATTTTCCCAGGGCTACTTTCCTACAATTTGATCATATCATGTTTTACTATTCTTTTATTAGATTCATTACCTTTTTCATTTTCTCTTCTTCTCAATGCTTCATCTTCGTCATAGTGGGTTAATGGAGGCGCCTCACCATAACCCCTTTCCTCCGCCTTATTCTCCTGTTCCACCTTACTCGCCTCTCCGCCTCTCTGTACTTTTATTTAGCTTCTCTTATTATTGATGGTGCTGTTATTAGACTAAACAAAACAAATATATTATTAGTTTAAGCTTTATATTCTCTTTTCTTTTCTTCTGCAACCGACACACTATATCATCAATCAATCAATTAATCTCCATCAATGAACCTATACCTGTCAAACGTTACACATAATTATTTGACCTTAGATATATGTAATCATATACTTCAGCATGTATACGCATTCAAATAGCATAGGAATTTAAATCGACGAACAATACCACCATCTGCCGATTTCCAAAAGCAATGATTTTAAAACATATGGCGTCCAAATGGCACGAATCCAAATGGCACGACGTCCAAAAGGAACGCGTCCAATCGGTTCGGCGCCCAAAAGGAACGCATCCAATCGGCACGGCGTCCAAAAGAAACGCGTCCAATCGGGACCGTCCAATAGGGACGCGTCCAATCGGTCGACGTCCAAGTGGGCATCACTCGCCCGTAACACCTTTCACATCTAATAGGAGATATTTCTACGATGATCCCACTTGCAAACATTTATGATATTCGTTATTGTTAATGACTATTGTTGTTGTAATTATCCAATAAGAACGGTAAACCACCTTACGGCATCCTACAAATACTGCATGTTTCACTAAAAAGTGTGAAATAAAATAATTTATAACAAAAAAAATCCGACTTCGAAATTCACTAAAAAGTGTAAAATAATTACTATTTCATTTATACCAGTATTCCACAGCTATTAATAAAATCTACCTAATCGTTAAATAGGGTACTAAATACATTTCAACTTTTTCGGAGGCGGTGCGAAATTAAAAATACCTGAATATACGATCCAGCCAATAACGATTTGATTGCGGAATGGCAAACTTGGTAATTAATAAGTCGTAAGAAAACGTTCAATTCGAAACGTTATAGATACGGCAGAAAACGTTTGTAATTGTAACGATTGTATCAGAAGGTGGTAGCACTTCTGATGTACGTGTATACTGCATTTCACGAGAGACCATACTTAATTCGCGCAGCTCACTAGATCTATGGAGACTTTTAATAACGTGTGTGATTCCCCTCTACAGCTTGCTTTTTATTTTGCGATCATATAAATGGTGGACAGAAATATATGACGTACGATAATTGATAAGCGATGATGACATGGTATAGATACACGATACAATGAAGTTTCAATTATTTTTCAAAGAAAAAATTATATGATCGTAAAGTAAGAACGTTATTAAAAACGTTATAATCACACACGTTATTAAAAATGTCCTTAGACCTAGTAAGCTGCGCGAGTTAAGTATGGTCTCCCGTGAACTGCAGTATAGTTAATCCGCAATTGGTATGTTGATTCCCGTTGAATATTGTTTACTTGAAATTATCAAATGGGTCATTTATCACAGGTTGCCGACGCCTGAACTTCCTAGTAGAAGAAAAGTTTTTAATTTTGCGCCACCTCCGAAAAGGTTGAAATGTATTTAGTATCCTATTTAACGATTAAGTAGATTTTATTAATAGCTGTGGAATACTGGTATAAATGAAATAGTAATTATTTTACACTTTTTAGTGAATTTCGAAGTCGGTTTTTTTTCTTTGTTAAAAATTATTTTATCGTCACCCGATTCCGGAGGATTTTACTGGGTCAGCCGTTCGACGGCGCGGTTCGCGTCCTCGTCGTTATCGTCTGTGCAATCGGCTGATGCAAGTTTTATACCTTCTTGTTTACCGAGCAGCGCTGGCGGGGCTTCCTGGTTGCGTTGGCAAGAGGTTAGCGTTTCTTTTATCTCCCGTGAATTCGAGAATCCGATGGGATGAATCTGCCGTTTGCTCGTTACTAGGGTTCTATGATGAAAAGAAATTTTGCTCTCCTCTTGCAGGAGGTACGGGCTACCTAAGAGTCCTATTATTACGTCAGGGAAATCCGGGGTGTCGACGACGTAAAAGAGCGTTTGGCTTCCATATATCTTAAGGCTTATGATGCCGACAGCAATGATGTATCCTTGAAAGGTCAAGGTACGCCTGAGCGTTTTAATCGGCAGAACCCGTAGAACGTATTAACAATAAAATAACCACCCATAAGGTGGGACGTAACAGTCGCGATATTGAGATACTCCTTATGTTCATAGCGAATAGTAACATCGACTATGAACTCCTGCTTCTCATTTTTAACTATGAGATCAGGCTTTCGGAGTTCATCCCGTACGGTTAAGGTTGGTTCTACAGTAAACTGATTCTTACTTGCCAAGTTTACTGCTAAAAGATCTCTTATTTCATTATGCCGTTTAATTCGAAAACCTTAGGTGTGATAGCACTGTCCTAATATATGCTCCAGAGTTTCAGGTTGCAGGTGACACCGCCTGCATATTGGATTTATGTTTTTATTGGTCTTATTTAAAACAACCCTTGTACCCATAGTATTCGTCCTCAAGCGTATTGCGTCAATAAATCTCGATCCCTTGAGCTGGGTTGGCTGGCTCAACCATTTATTACCAACTGGATCTTTATAAAATTCATTTGTACCTTGTCCTTGGATACGTAGTACACTCCATTCTTTACTCGGTTGGGCTCTTAATCTTCGACGTGCAGCCTCAATGTCATCTAATGTCGCAGGTCAGTTTATGCGCAGAGAGTTCGTGATTTTTAAAAATTATTTATCCGCCGTAGTTAAGCTTATTATATTTTTTACCGCCGGATCTATCGAGCTTTTCATTTTTATGGCACTTCTTAGCACTCCTAATCTTATAATTATTTCTAGTCTTGGGATACCTAGGCCGCCATTGATTTTTTTTGTGTAGAAAAAGCCCGTTGCTGTGGACGGAGTTAAATGGAGTATTTCCTTTATCTGTTGCCTGATTTCGGAGTCTAGTAGTTTCAAAGTGGAATCTCCTGGTGGGTAAATAAGTAGACCATAGATAAAATGCGGTATAATATACGAGGTAAAAAGGTCTATCTTTTGGTATGGCTTAAGTGGCATTTTCCTTATCCTTTTTATTATATTAATAATATCAGGCATTACTATGCCACTCTCCAATCCCTTCCAAGGGCCAATCTTTGCGCCCAAGTATCTAAAAGCAGTGCTTGAATCTGCTTCGGGTATTTTATTCCCGCTTATATTTAAGTTGGGATCCACGACGTACCATGTGTCACGATGCGTTTTAATTTCAAATGTCAGACATTTGGAAGTGGATAATGACATCCCTAAGTTATTTAGATATTTATATATTATTTCTAGCTGGAATTGTGCTTCTTATTTATTTATGCCTAGTACAACAATATCATCGGGGAATGCCAGAACTGACACCGTATTATTATGATCCAGGCTAGTGCTCAAGCCTGAGGTTTTATCTTGCAAATCCTCTAAAAGTTGCTCAATGCAAAGATTGAATGGTAATGGCGATAGAGGGTCGCCTTGCTTGACGCCTCTTTTAATCTGAGTTTCTACGCGGGTATCATTTGCTTTAATACAGGTCGTGTTGCTAGTATATTTTTTTTTTTTTTTTTTTTTTTTTTTTAGATGGAGAAATGTATTACGCATACCGGTCGGATGTCAACCGGTTGTGTGGGACTCATCCATTTTCACAGGGCATACCCACTAAAAATCCATCGTATTATGCCTGAGATGGCAGGCAACACCAAAGTGGTCCGATTCAGCGTTTCTTTGCTCATCCTACACCTGTTGGCGGGATGGTGTTTATCCTGGTAGATGTTGTTTTATTGAACCTCCAAAAGCTGTTTAGTCCTTCCACAATTTTTAACTCGTTCTTTTTAAGGATACCTCTTCTTATTATTTCATTGGCTGATCTTTCGCTCCATACACCGTGATATGACAGCGTGACAGTTGTAAAGGATACGTCGCGGACGCCGTATCTTTCCTTTATGGCGTGATGTAGGTGTTCATACTTCTCGATTTTGATCTTGTGCGATGTATCTAAATCCATGTGCTCACTAATTTGTGTATCAACCATAATTGCCGTGGTTCCTTGCTTAGCTACGAGGTCGGGCTTTCTAAGTCCTTCGGCTGTTCTGAAGTGAGGCTCAGCCTCGACCTTCTCGTATTTTTGCTCCAGAGCTCTTTTAACGTAAGCTGTTACAGCGTTATGCCTCTCTATTCTAGCTCTGTGTGTTCGGTGGCATTGTTGAAGCACATGGTTGAGCGTTTCAGCTACGTTGCAGCCACCTCTGCAGATACTGTCTGCGCGTCTACCGCGCGATGTCCTAGACCTAGTCGGAAGTGCATTGATGCGCAGTTTAACTGCATTTATAAAATCTCTGCCGCTTAAGAAGCGGTTCCCATCGGTTATCCATTGGTGTTGCTGGTGTACCTTTCTTGATTCTCTGAGGCGTTTCCCATTAATGGATGAATGGAGAATTGTGGGCCATCTCTTTTCTAATTACTCCGAAGTGCTTATGTCAATACGTTTTTCTGTCAATCTGCGTATAGTGCGTTGAATTTCTTGGGTGAGGTATAAGTTGGTTGGTAGACCTTCCCTTGTGAGCTTTTGAAGCCTCACCGTTCTGTGGAGAGGCATCAGCCATCTCATGGATGGGATTGACAGACCTCCGTTTTTGGCACCTGCATGAAAGTAGGCATTAACAGTGTCATGCGGGAGGCGGAGCCATTTCCTCACCGCAGCGCGCACCATTTTGTCTACCTTCTTCAGTCTACTCAGCGTGGTGTTACCCAGGGTCAGTAGGTGGTATAGTCCTGGTAAAATAATTACCCGTAAGGTAAATAGTCTTTGCTGAGGTTTTAAGGGTGCTTTGGTGAGCTTGTCTATTGTCTCTTTCAGTTTAATTTCGGACTGAGTTATAGAGCGTCCCCCAGGCGTAAATGGGACTCCCAAGTATTTCCATTCATCTTCCCTTCTGAGAGACGGGAGCTTATGTCCGCGACATTTAAACTGGGTTTCTTTATCCACCACAGACTTTTTGACATGCGGTACATTCCATAATGCAACGGTGAAAGATTTGGTGGCGTTTATAAATAGCCCACATTGCGCTAAGAATTCAGAAGCTATGTCGATTGTTAGTTGCAGGCCATTTGGTGTTGCGGCCAGGAAGATTATGTCATCGGCGAAAATGAGCGCATTATAGCGAACAT